ATATATATATATATATACACATACACACACACACACACATACAAAGTTGAATTTTCAGCATCATTACTGCAGTATTCAGTGTCACATGGTCCTTCAGAAATAATTCTAAAATGCTGATTTGCTGCTCAAGAAACATTTCTTATTATCAGTGTTGAAAACAGTTGTGCTGCTTAATAGTTTTTGGAAACTGTGACACTTCCCACTTTTTCCCCCCAGAATTTCTTGATGAATAGAAACTTCAAAAGAACAACATTTAGTTGAAATACAAATCTTTTGTAACATTATAAATGACTTTCTGATTAATTTCTTTCATCTTTTCTTGAATCGTACTGACCCTGAACCTTTACACGGTAGTATAAACATATAAAAACCTAAATTAAAATTCAAAGAGGTTTGTACATATACTGACGTGTGATCTATCTGTTTCCGCTCTTTGTGGAAGATGAAGGCACCACATCTGAGCTCAGTTTACCGGGCTGCTTCTCTGTGGCTGATGAATCTTCTACTGACTGTTTCTGGGACACAAAATCAGAATTATAAGTATGCAAACCAAGTATACAATCATTTCATGCAAGCATGTGGTTGAGAATTAGGAAAGTTGCTTTGTGGCAGAGCACCACCATGTGGACACTAGGAGTAATAATTAATTCAGTATGCTGTAAATGCAAAGCGTTTGAGTAACAAACCAGCCACAGTGCTTAAACAACGCAAACTGTCCCCCAGGTTTTCAGCGAATAAGAACATATACAGCCATGTGTTTGTGCTTCAGCCGATGGAATGGTGACTGAATGGGATTTTCCGTTTGAGTTAGTGTTTCTCCATGCTGAGGTTCATGAGCCAAAGCTACAGTATAAGAACCAAATTCATGCATTTCATTTCCAAATACAACCTACCTTTGGTTTAGACTTTGGTTTTGCACCCTTTCCCTGTAATCAAGATAGAAACCCCAGATATAAACTGGTTTGAACCAGTATGAAGGGTCTGGGGGGGGAAACCTGCTGCTCTTTCAGAATCGGCATGCACACTTTTATCCTACTTTTTATTATCTCCCTTGTCTTTTTATTCAAATATTAGACTTCAAAAGAATAATATGAAAACAAATGTGAAAGTCAAATGTGGTTTTTACCTTTGGTTTGCTGTCTTTGGCTTTGGGGTCAGTCAGGTTGGGAATCACTTTTTCCGCCAGCTCGTCGAAAACTGGACCTGATGCCTGTAAACAAAGTCAAATAAAAAAAATATAACAGAATTTGTGTAAAGAACTTAGAGGGATGTTACTTTGGCAGGTTTGTTTGTGGTACCTTAAATGTTGGCGGTTGTGGTTCAGGGGTGAAGCGTTGGGCGTCAGGTGCTGAGGGCTTCACGGGCGGTACTACAGAAAAATCACTAGACAGCATGTCAAGGGCTGCTGTGTCATCCATTGATGTCTGAGAAATGGACAGACAGACAGTCAAATGTCTACAATGATTCTTAATGATCAAAATTATAGAAATGCCGTTTTTTTGTTTATTGAAGTTATGAATACTTCTTATAATGGTACATATAAATCTGTATTAAATAATCTTTTTCATAAAGTACCGGCTTTGGTTTGACGTCTTTCTGCTTTGCTGCTTCAAATGCCTGCGGTGAAGACCGAAGAATAAGTGTAAAGTTTTAATTGTCTATAAATGAAATCCACTGGTATGGAAACATGATGGAGAAAGGAAAGTCACCTTGCGGTCTTCCTCTTTGAACCGATGATCTGGTGGAAGGGTGTCGTCTCTCTCACCTGGTTTATTCACTCTCTCCTCAACTATATTCTTTTCCTGTGGTGGGAAAAGAAGTGCCGAGAACTTCAGGATATAGTACTGTCATAATTTATCTTGCATGACCATTTTTCACCTTCCCTTCAAATAGAGTTAAATTGATATTGCTGCTGTACCTTTAAGCAGCATATGTAAATATTTGCATGTAAAATGAGCATCTTTGCCAAACAAACAATTAGGAACCTTGATTAAAATGAACTTCAGCCAGTTTTTCCTAATATTGGAATACTTTGTAAGGATATACAGAGTGGCAGGCACCACACAATGGCAGGAAGCACAAGGTTTAGTGGTTCTTCTCACATTTTACTGACTAATAAGGTGTTTTTCCAGCTTCATTTCAATCAATGGTCAAAATATGGTTACTAAGGGTTAGTAAAACGAGTGTTACCTTAACAACATCTTTAGGCAGGACGGGGGCAGGCTCAGGGGCGGCTTTAAAGTCTGCTAGAGTGTCTGAGAGGGCATCCAAAGCTGATGAGGTACCGTCTGACAACTTCAACAAACAGTACAAGAAAAAGTCAGTAAAGAAGCAAAGTGAGAAAATGTATATTGTGTGTAAATATGGATAAATTAGACATTTACCTGTCTGTCAGCGTGTGGGGGGCCAGAGACGGCAGACTGAACTTTAGATGCAGAAGAAGGAGCGACAAAATCGCCTGCAAGAGCATCTAAAGCCAAATCTGAAGCAGAATCTGAAGGCTAAAAAAACAGCAATTATTAAGCAGCACAACGGTTTTCAAAATTGATAATAAAAAAAAGAAATGGTTTCTTCATCACCAAATGAGCACATTAGAATTTTAAAACAAATTAAAACATTTGTAAATTGCAGTAATATTTCACAAAAATAAAATAAAACATTTTGCACAGTAGTGTACAGACATTTAATCTCATTGCTGTCTTGGACAAACAACTGGGATATAAAATAGATTTGATTTGTGATTATTGTTTCCTATTTGGACGTCCATGAATCTCACCGTAGCGGGAGACTTAGAGGGAGGACAAACGGGGGTCTTGCCAGACGATGCCGCCGAAGGAGGTATAAAATCACCAGACAGAATATCCAGAGCTTCAGTAGTGTCTAAGGAGGGCTGGGACACAAGAAACATCCACCAATCAAATCACAGGATCCAGCAGCAGTGACCAATCATGACACACATCCATGAGACTTTCTTAATGACGATCAGTGTCATATTATGCTATGTGACCGCGTTATCACCTCTTTCTTAGGTGGAGGATATTTCTTGAGCTCTTCCTCTGAGAATCGGTAATCTGGTGGGAGCGTGTCTTCTCTCTCTCCAACACGAACTCCCTTCTTTGATGTCAAATCCTTCTCCTGTTCAAAAAACATTCAATTATTTAAAAAAAAAACATCAAGAAATGTAGCAATGACACCTATGCCACATTTAAATTTGTAAACTAAAAACATAAGTAGTATAAAATTATTACATGAACGATGTCCCCAGGTTTGAGTTCAGCTTCTTTTTTGGGTGGCTCTGGTGCACCCAGTGTGTCGCCCAGAGCGCTGAGAGCGTCCTACACATATGAGAGAGCAGGACAGAAATAGAGAGATAATAAAACTCTGTAGGGTCCAAAAAGATGTTCGAACACAATAAATACCACTGGTATGCTTAACATGACCAATTTCATATATTTTTGTGACTTGTGTGAATACAATTTTTGTCTAGTATTTGCAATACCTCATCGTTCTGTGGTGTTTGCAGAGGGCCAGGAGGGCTAGTTTTAAGAGCCCCCGAAGAAACCTACAGCATACAAGAATTAGAATGGAATAGAATAGAAAAATCATCTTCTGAGTGAAAACAAATACAGGAAATACTGAACTGAGTGCAATAATAGCACAGATATGAATCGAGCAATAAACTGACCTTAGGCACCGACTGTGCAGGAGCCACAAAATCACCTGCCAAAGCATCCAGTGCTGATAATTCATCCACTTTTGGCTAAAAGAAGATCAGAAAGACAGAAAGCATCTTAATTGGTTCAAGAGAAACATTAACACAAAATGATCTGCATTATTACAAAGCATTCTAGAATACATGGTTAATCTTTGCATTTCTGTCATGCATGTTATACTGTACTATTGATCATTTTCCCAAATGTCTCTCGTATCGTCATGTTTTTATCCCATAATATAGCAATTTCAAATCAAATCAATATTTCATGTCCAGTTATTAATTTGGTAAGTAGCCAAAAGTGATATAATGTCCAGTCAGCCAGTCATTATCTCAAAATAAACACAGTAAGGCCTCCACGACTGTCCTACCTTGGGAGCATCTTTAGATTTCTCAGGAACCCCAGCAGGTTTCTTTGTTTCCTGGTTTGAAAAAGTTATTCTAAAATAACTACTTTTAACGAGAAACAAAATGAGGCATGGAAGCTTAAACAACATTTGACTACAAATGGTTTCAAACGGCACAGAAACAGCTTTCCTACCTTAGGAGCATCTTTAGTCTTTTCAGGAACCACTTCAGGCTTCTTCTTTTCCTGATTAAACAAATGAACATTGTTGAACTATCTGAATGTACATTATAAGCATTACATCATGTAATATTGCTCTTATGGTGTCTCATTTTAATGAAAACGATTATAAATTATTACCTGTGCAGGAGGAACAGGGGCCTTAACAACAGGGGCTGCCGCGGGCTCCGTGAAACCTCCAGAAAGAAAGTCCAGTGCATCGTCTGTGTTCAGTGAGGGCTGAGAGAGACATCCACCAATCAGAACACAGCATCCAGTGACAGCAGCCAATCACAACACAGTTTTTTAATAAAACTCATTTCTGCTCACATAAGGTAACATTCTCAATAGATGTAAAGCATTGAATAAGAATTAACACTAATAGAAGACAATCATTTGACATTTTTAGTATATTGTATTCAGTGTCTGACCTCTTTCTCAGGAGGAGGATATTTCATGAGCTCTTCCTCTGAGAATCTATAATCTGGTGGGAGTGTGTCTTCTCTCTCCCCGACACGAACACCCTTCTCTGATGTCCATTTCTTCTCCTGCTCAAAAACATGTAAATGATTAAAAAACATAGAAAACTATAATCTAATATAAGAATTATGAAAGAATAAACAGAAGTGTTACATCAACTATCTGCCCAGGCTTGAGTTCAGGTAATTTTTTGGGTGGTTCTGGAGCACCCAGTGTATCACCCAAAGCGCTGAGAGCGTCCAGCGACATGGAGCTGTCCGTCTGGAAGAGGAAGAGAAAATGCACACAATTTACATTTATTTAAAATTAAAATATGTTGACTCATCTAAAATATGAAATCCTTCAAATATGTAAAGAATATTATTTCATTCAAATATCAAGTTGAAAACTTTTTTTTTTATTGACCTGATCTGTCTTTGGTTTAGTGGGTTGTGCAAGGGTCTCGATCCTGGCTTTCTTGTCAGCTGGTGGAGCAGGCTGAGATGTTGTCGGTTGTTTCTGCTTAAGATGAGAGAGACCTGTTTAGTTTTGGAAAGGGTTAAATAATGTCACAGTGTTTTAAAATGCTGTTACCTGATAGGGTGGAGGGGGAGCAAAGTTGGAGATGCCTGCCGAACGAACATCGACTGCTCCTACTGTTTCAGTTTTCTGAAAAACAGTGAATAAATATCATACAAAGAAACAAAACTTTGCATTAAGTCAAGACTACGCATATATAACTAAACAGTCTAATATGTTTTAAGCCAGGTGCCGCTAAAGGGGTATGCAGAAAATATTTGTTATTTAAATTGCCAACTTATTTTTATAATAATTTTAGTAACTATATAACATTTATGTTACAAAATTTATATATTTTCCATATACACATATTTATGTTTTTTTTTCATGAGAATAAGTGGGCCTTTATACAAGGAATAAAAATATTAAATAAAATTTGACTGTAAAGGGATCATTATAATTGGGGGTGTGTGCATTTTGAAAATTACTTAAAGGGGTCATATGATGCTATTTTAAAGATCATTATTTTGTGTATTTGGTGTAACAGAATATGTTGACATGCTTTAATGTTCAAAAAACACATTCTTTTTCAAATACTGTACATTATTGTAGGTCCTCTATGCCCCGCCTCTCTCAAACACTTTGTTTTCAACAAAGCCCCCTCCTTTGACAAGCGCAGTCTGCCTTTGTGCACAGCCAGCCTTGTACTCTTCTAGGTTAAAAAAAAACAGTCGTCCATAAAACTGTGCGTTGCACAAATGCGAACATCTGGGTTGTGCTGTTCTGTTGTAAATAAATCTTAACCAATGATTCCTAATTGCATCTACTTCCGGAAGGCCAAATAAAGTGCTTTTGCTTTCGCACTGAAACACAGCGTCTCCCTGACATGGCTGCATCAACACTACTCCGCTCCTGAAACCACGCCTTCTTTCTTTGCGTGCACATTTGGGCAGCATTATGCTAATATTTCCACACAGTGATGTAGATATGTGGGGGCGTGTTAGAACGAGGCGTTTTAGGTAGGCGTGGTTGACTCTTAACTTTTATAAAGAATATCTCTTTGGATTTGAGACTTTAGTCTTTGCAACTTTACAGATCTTCTTTACGCACCAAGAGCTTGTAACACTCCAAAGAGAAAGGAAAACTTGAAATCGCATCATATGACCCCTTTAAGCAAATAGATAGCAAACTGCTGTCAAGATACTCACCACATCTGTCTTCTTGGGAGCAGCTGGAGCTGAAGACACAAACCCTGCTGAGAGGGAGTCCATCGCCTCGTCTGTGCTTATAGGCTTTCAGAAAACATTAAACAATCACACGTTAATGAAATTAATTATATAGAATAGTGCACAAAATGTGAAAAAAAGTCTAATAATGTAATTCTAGGAACGACCATTAGAGGGAGCCCCAAGCTCAATTTTGGGGGAATAACAAACAGCATGTGCCCTGGCAGGAAATGTACAGACACACCCTCTGCATACCAAGAGCCCGACATCAACAATATGCTTATAACTTATAAAACAACCACCAGCTGAATAAGCTGAGCTCTCTATGAACGATCAGGGCAAAACAATCGAAAAAGTTGTACAAAATATTGAGACGGTGATCATAATATTCTGAGAACTGAAGGGTGGGCGATGAGTATTTACGCAAAACCTGTATGGCATAATGAGTGAAATACAGCACAGGTTAGATGAGAGAGTGTGTGTGTGTGTGTGTGTGTGTGTGTGTGTGTGCACGCTGATTGGGCAACAATGTACTGAAAGTGAATGAGTGATGAATTTGTGTTTGCTTCTGTTTGCTATCCAACACCCTTAGAACAAGCGAAATATTTGGCACTAAAATACAGATAGAAAGAGACATGAAGAATAATGGTAAGACGTGAGTGAATATCAGCGGGATGTAAAATGTCTCATAAACAAGTCATACATGCCAGTATGACTGAGCGTGACCGTAAATATGGGCCTTATTCACTAAACATGCATATTGTGTGCAAATGTTTTCAAACAGAAATAATGATTCATCAGAGTTCATACTGATTATTTATTTCTTATTGATAAGTTCATATTTTATTCTAAATTTATGGAAAACAGGACTATATAAAATATATAAATATTTAATTAAATATTTTATCAAAAAATAAAATGAACATCAATAATACTACTAAATTACAGTTAATTTAAAATACTAAAAACAACTGACAGACTCCTAGTGGGCTTATAATGGAATTAGTTTCTTGTTAAATATAGATACATATTATTTGAAATTGAATAACCATGTAGCTCTATAATAACTGTTAACAAATATAATATGAATTAGACTGATGTGGGATAAGTCATGCATAATACAGAGCCTGTTCAGGCATATGCATAACTGGCCTAATATGGCCAAAACTGCCCATATATAAACATGGTTTGGCTGTGTATTATGCTAATACTCAGTTAAAATAATGACATTGAATGTAAGAACAGATATGTAAAATTTGTCTGTGCACAAAACAACTGCATTTTTAGTGCACAAGGCCCAATGACAAAAAGACAAGGAAAATGCATTGAGAAAGAGACAATAACAGTGCGATAGAATGTTAATGCTAACAGGCATAGAATGCTAATGTGGTGCTGGGAACACTGGAGACTTAAAAAGTGTGTGTGAACTACAAGAATGTGTGTCACATGATTTGAAAAGGGCTAAAAACAACACACTGAATGCACTGACAGTAAAAGGCCTCTGCAACTCGCCTACCTTGGGAACATCTTTAGGCTTCTCAGGAACTCCAGCAGGTGTTTTCTTTTCCTGAATGGACAAATTAACGATTAGACTCAAAGATGACTAAAATAGTGACTGAAAAACATGCGTAAAACAATACTTTGAATTAGACCGAAACAATGAAAACAGACTCTAAAAGACTTTCACACATTGGTAAGCTATAACTAAAAAGGCAGGTTTCATGAAGGCATTATGAAGACGGAAACAAAACAGAAATGCGAGGAGAGAGAATGAATGATTGTTTGAAGGGACAGTTCACCCCCAAAAAGACAGCATGGCTTCAGAAGACTTGTAATATAGCACACAAGCCCTTCTTTAGACTATTTTTATTATGCTCTTGGTGCATTTCTGACCATTTTGAAGCTTAAAGGGGTCATATGATGCAATTTCAAGTTTTCCTTTCTCTTTGGAGTGTTACAAGCATAGATAAGATCCCTAAAATTGCTAAGACTAAAGTCTCAAACCTAAAGAGATATTCTTTAAAAAAGTTAAGACTCGTCCACACCCTCCTAAAACGCCTCGTTTAAACACGCCCCCACATGTCTACGTCACTCTGTGGGAAGATTTGCATAACGCCGCCCAAATGTTCACGCAAAGAAAGAAGGCGTAACTTTTATTCTCGCTGTAGTATTGTTGTTGCCGCGTCGTGGAGACGCTGTCTTTCGTTGTGAAAGCGAAACTACTTTGTTTGGTCTTCCAAAAGAGGACACAACTAGAAATCAGTGGTTAAGTTGTATTTACAACACTGTTCCAGAACAACCCAAATATTCAGATGTGTGCAGCACATTTTAAGGAGGACTGCTTCCTGAACCTGCAGAGTAGCCTACAATGCTGTGCACAAAGGTTGTTTCTATAAAGTGGGGCAATTCCAACTTTGCAAGGACAGTATGGCACTTCTGACTCACAGTCTGTAAGTACGTTTTCATATTTAAAGAATTGTCACTGATGATTCAAACGCGAGTTTTGAGCAGTGTAGAGTAGCGCTTGTTTGTCATTTCTCCGATCACTAATGCAGACATGGTTTTATGTTTACGCAGCGCAATGCGATACGCAGCGCAACGCGTAAAAACACAGTATAAGTCATTATAATCAGTAATTATGTCCCCACTGGATGCAACAAATGCCTCGTATATAATGGGTTTTACTGATTTTGTCTCGTCGCGCCGGGACACGGCATCAAAGTATGGTAAGGTGCGTAACATTTCCGTCACACGCTTGAGGTATTCGGCCAATCACAACACACTGGATAGCTGGCCAATCAGAGCACACCTCACTTTTCAGACGCGTTTCAGAAAGGTGGGGCATAGAGGAGAAACAATAATGTACCGTATGTGGAAAATTGTGTTTTTTTAACCTTAAACCGCATAAACACATTTCATTACACCAAATACACAAAACAATGTTCTTTTTAGCAGCATCATATGACCCCTTTAAAAGCCTCAATCTCCATTAATTGTAATTGCATAGAAAAGAACAATCAGCATATTCTTCGAAATCCTCATTTTGTGTTGCATGGAAGAAAGCAAAACAACATTTTTGGATGACCTATCACTTTAACTACTAATAAGATGAAAGGAATAGAAAAAAGCAACTGTTAATAATTTGTATGATCTCCAACTGACCAGGTCTGCTCGTCTGTATCCGGGTGGCAATGTGTCATCTCTCTCACCACAGATTAAACCCTTCTCTGCTTTTACATTTGGCTGAGACATGCAATACATTCCATTAGAAAACACACGTGTAGAAAGACACGTGCTGTTAAATAATCAACATTCACAAACACATGCTATTATTGCTTTAATTTTACACATCACTCTAATATCTACACTCATGCAGTACCTCTTTGACCTCTGGTCCAGTGAATGCTGGGACTTTAGGAGCCACAGGTCGGGATGATGGTAATGTGCCAGACAGGGCATCAAACGGATCTACATCCTACACACAGGCATAAATATAAACTCAGTGGGATGTTTTTAGAATACAGAGTATCTGATAATCACACAAAGATAAAGTCAGCATGTAAACTCACCTCCGTACTGACTTTAGCTCCTGGAGGACCCACTTCCACTTGCACCTGCAGTCCAGAGCAAAATACCTTTTTATTATACTCCATACTGACATACCTGGACTGCACTACCCTACTTAGTCATTCCCAGGTATCACATATATTTTCCTTTGAGAGGTTTATCAGTACACTACCATTCAAAAGGTTTTTTTTTTTTTTTGTTTTTTTTTAATAAATGTTACTGATCTTAATCTTTTGGAAGGTTAGATGAGTGTGTTAACCTTTTAAAAAGGCATGATTATTTCTTAATATGATGTTTTAGGAGCTTATATTAACTGAGCGACTACATGGGGAAAAAAGTATTTGTTACATCACAAGATCATAAAAATGTTCACAAAATTGACGACAATTGATGGCAAAATATGTGATAAAAAATTGGACCTTATTCTTATCAGTATACATTAACCTGAAATCTTAAAAATTGTATGTGTCAACTGCTTGTGCATGCAAATACAATGCTTACAATAGAGCACAATGTTTTCCAGTGTACATATGCTATCTGGACCAACAAGAGTGGATTCACATCCTGCAGTTGTGCGCTGTTTTGTTTTGAAATGCGTTACATTGAGTTGGCGGTAGCAGTTAGTAAAAAAAAATAATAATTTTTTAAAAGTATTTCCCCCAAAAGCCCTTTTAAAATCCAATAAGATACACTGGGTGCTTCTTTTCAAGCACAAATGTCCAGTATTTGCACCTTTAGCATGAGAATGTGAGGGTAAAATGATGTAATTTTAATGCACTCCTGATGATCATTCCATTAAAGTACCTTTTGAGCGCTTGTCTGCTTTTGCGCACCGGCCGGGGCTGAGGGCTTCCCAACAGCCGGATCCACCTTAGCAGCTCCCGGTTTGGATGAAGGAATGGTTGTACTCTATCAGGAGCATACGCACCACATATTCGAGAATTAACACCAAGTTTAAAACCAAAACGGAGCAATTGTGCAGCCAAAGCTAACCCAGAGAGCGAAAGAGTAGAACGATAAGATAAGTTTGATCTTTTCAGGAGTGCAATGATGCAGCTCCTCACAAATGTGTGAAAGGTGAACGCCATGAGAGTGGTGATCAGAGAATGAGACATTGCTTATGTGGGATTATCCATCAAAAGAAAATTGAAGTAAAAGCAGCAATAACTGGCATGCAGAAGATGATATCACAAAAGCGGCATGTCCATGAAGTCTTGTTTGCAGAAGATGGACAAGAGAAGCCAAACGCCAATGAATGCTGTGCACTGGTGTACCTGGGCCTTGTCTTTCAGAGGGTCTGTGATCTTCACTCCTGTCGTTCCAGCAGGTCCAGTTCCAGAGCTCACAGTTGGGACTTTAGCAGAAGGTGCAGGTGTAGGTTTAGAGACTGTGGCCTGCAATCAGTATGCAGGAGTAAGAACAGAATACAGCGGATCCTCAAGATGCACTTTAAATATGAAGATGAGATGAGATGGATGGATAAAACCAAATGAAGATGGTTTGCAGATGGGTTTTAGTTTCGAAATGGCAGAGGAGAACATTTAAACTTGATGTTCATCCCAAAAAGTCATGAATGTGTTCAGCATTGAGACCCAAAGAACAAATACCAAAAACACCATCTCCATTAGACAGAGAAGTTTGTGCAACAAACGGTCCTACAGATGTTTTCCAGATGTTGTGGAAATGGAATCAGCCCAAACGTGTTGTGTTAGTGTTCACCAAAAATGTTAACCAAGAATGAAAGCAAGAAATCAAGTTAGGAAAGAAAGGCAAAAAGAGTGTTTGAGAAAAAGTGCAGTGTGGCCCTGATGAAACCCAGCGTGAGGAAGATGTAAAGAAGCCTGTAGTCCTATAAAATCCAGAAGACGGTGTCTACCTGTGGCGTGACTAGAGAAGGTCCTTTCTGAGTGGTGGTGAAACCTCCACCTCCTGCAGCTCCCGCAGCAGATGCTCCTGACGGAGCTGCTGGGGTTGCAGGCGTGGTGCCGGGTTTGACAGTCACAACTGCAGTAGACGATTGTGTAGGTCCTTTCTACAATGCAGATGTGAAAATGGCAATCATATATCATGTTCCTGTGGCTCAGTGGTAGAGCATTGCGTTAGCAAGCAGCGCAAAGGTCGTGGGTTCGATTCTCAGGGAACACACATACTGGTAAAATATGTATAGCCTAAATGCACTGTAAGTCGCTTTGGATAAAAGCGTCTGCTAAATGCATAAATTATTATTAATTATTAAATTATATCATGTTTCTTGTTGAAAGGCAATGGGATTATGACTAGGGTGACCATACGTGCCATTTCCCCAGGACGTGTCCTGGCCAGGATTTCTATATTGCCTAAAATATCTAGGTTTTGGCTTTGTTTGTGTGTGCAGACCGATCGGTGTATGACATCAAAATACCTCGAGAGCATTTTGAAAGCATAAGGAACCGTCTGTATGGTATTTTGATGTCATACACCGATCGGTCTGCACGCGCAAACAAAGCCAAAACCTAGATATTTTAGGCAATATAGAAATCCTGGCCAGGACGCGTCCTGGGAAAATGGCACTTATGGTCACCCTAATTATGACAGATTCAATTATATGTCTTTCACATGAGCACCTCAGCTTAGTTGTGCCAGACTGGCATTAACTATAGTCTTGCAAAGCACATTCCCTGGGCAGTTCTTTATTTGTATCAGAACGTGAACGTTTATTTTTATCAGATATAGAAACTTGTTAACCAGGGAGTTTTGGGATGAGAGATACAATTAACAAATCACACAAACAGCAGTTACAAGCAAGCAAATCAAAAGCAAACTCCAGCTGTAACTAGATTCAGGAAAGTGAGTCATAGGGCAGACACTCCTCATGGGAGACACCATGCCCTGCCACAATCAAATATCCCAACATGCTCTGTCCAAAGGCAACAGACAAGAAAAAATAAAAGATTTCTGTTAACAACCAAACAGTCTCAAAAAGCAACCAACGATGTCCTCTAAGAGTCCATGTAAATGCAAGAGGAGAGTAGAAAGACGTCTTTGTCTTTTATATCTTTGCTGTATTTTTTTAATGGTGCTGCTTAATAAATCAAGTGTCTCGACAACCACCCACAACACCCTAGTATTGTGGCAGTGTCTTTTGCAAAGTCATTGCAAAAGACACTGTTTTTCTTCTGTTTTTTCCCACAAAAAGCTTGTTTAAAAAAAAAAAAGAAAAAAAGCTTGTTAATTTTCTTTTTATCCCTTTATATTTTCAGGGTTCCCATAACTTTACACCAATGTTTTCCATGATGTATATATATATATATACACACACACACACACTTCTATATATATATCTCAATTTATTTTTTATTAATTGAGAAAAGGAGAAAATCTGTAAGAAAACAGGAACCCTGTATTTTTTCCCAGTAGTCTATCTATACTATCGATTCAAGCTAATTCATAATAAATGTAGTGCAATATATGCAGACATTTGTCATTTATATCTTATTATTAGGAATATACACATTATCACAGCTGTGAGTATGACTTGAGGGCAGGCAACAAAGTTGCTTTCCACCATCTTAAAGGAACAGCTTTAAACACTTTATCTGAATGGACAGAAGACTTTTCCCAGTTCTCCGTTCAGCTACGACACAACACTTCTTAAAAACACAGTAGCATCCCTCACAGAACAGACACCTGAATACTTCCAAGGAAAAAGCAGACGGCTATCAACAACCAGTGGAGACATGATGGGTCGATACATTTATAAAGTGGAATATAAACCATTTTGTAGAATATGAGTCTTTCCATCAGACAAATAAATGAGATAATGTGAATAAATGGAGTAAATGAGAGAAAGACTGAAAACAATGAAGGATCTTACCTCATATTTTGCAGGATTCGCTGTGGAGACCTGAGATGTTGGGGTGGGTGTGACCTGCTGAGACTGCAAAAAGAAAGACAAAGAGAAGAGTTGAGTGTTTGAGAAAACGTAATGCATTTACATTATTATGAAAAGCATTACTGCTGCTATTAATAAATAAAAATGCATTAGTGCACTATGGAACCCATTACTTTCCCTGACCTTCTCACTACATTAAAAACAGCCAGAATCATATGCAAATCATGAGTTTAGTGTAAAACATAAGGTCATGCTGATAAAACCCATGAATGCATTATCAAACACACTTAAATATTTGTGAATGATTTCAAATGTGAGCAAAAATGTACCAAATGCAAATCAAATGCATCATTAATAGATACAAATACAAAACACTGAAGCAATAACAATCCTACATGACTTACTGTAAGGATTCAATTGTTCAGTAGCTCTACCGGTTTACAAACTGCATTTTAAACAAGGGCTTTTGCATAACTAGGCAAGACCTTTAACCCCCAAACCACCATAATCATCATCATCAAACTTTTAAACACAGCTGTGCCATATACGCAACTGCTTAAGGATGAAATGGTGACAGCCTATGGCTCGTTTGGGATTGGCCTTTACATTTTCTCAATTTTCTTCTACCCAGAAGGTCTGAACATAGCGTCAAGGAGCACCCAACATATAGATTTACTGATTTGATGCTCCCTGAAGTGTTCTAACAAGCTCAGCAGGTTTGAAGTTATGTAACTGAATGAGGGTGGATTGTTGATGATGAAATACAAAGAACCAGAGATAATGGCACAGTTAAATAAATACTCAATGTTATTCATGTGATAAAAGCGCTTCCTTTAAAATCTGAAGTTGTTGGCCAATCAAGTGATTAGCGACAGGACATTTTGTAGATATATTTCTATTTATAGAGTATTGCACTGAATAGCCCCACCCACTGTGAAATCTCATCGGTCCAAAATTGACTTCCATGTAACTCTACATTAAACATCAACTATATCTTTTGATTGTGTCACATTGTCCTACATGACCTACTTGACATAGAAAACATGCTACATGGTTGTCATGGCAGGTCAGAGGAACTTAAAAAGAATTTTAAAAATATAAAAGATCACTTCTTTTTAAAGACTACTTTGTCCTTTTACTTTCTTCATGTTCTTCAATTTATTAGATGTAATCAGTAATAAATAAATAAATACATAATGATAACAAAATATGATTATGATGACAAGAACAACAGCTTTTTATTATTTATTCCCAATAAATCTAATTATTATTAATATTAATAAAATCATAATAATAACAAACATCAAGCATTATACAGTCTTAAGGTTTTTTAGATTTATTGGACAATTATTAAATAAACAAAAAATATATAATTATTATAATTAATATTATAATAATTTGAAATATTACTATTATTCGTATATAATTATTATTGTAATAATAACGTTACTATAATCATTACTAGAATTATCATTATTATAATATATTATATTGGTTGTTTGTTTTTTTTGGGATACTGACAGCCAAGAATGACAGGAAATAATGGCGTATGATGAGAAATGGCCAGATCTCTCAAGATCACACATCAGAGCATATGTGCTAACCACTAGGCCACAACTTCTACCACATCTTTAAATGAAAAGAAAGGGATCACAGTATAGTCATTCAGGAAGACACTTCGCTACCAAATAAGCCGCGAAAGGGCCTTTAGCATACATTCAAAACTTGGTGCTCTTTCTCTGGGCCACTAAATAAAGATACATGAGCAACAATGATAATAAAAGTGCTGGCTCTGAGCATATGGACAACATTGGAAAAAATTCTTAAAAGTATATATATATTTTTTTTGGGGGGGGGGAAATACTTGGCTGATACCATAACCCAACCCATTCAACAACAATACAACAGAAAAATGTGGAAACTCATAAGATAGCTACTGTGAGTACATGAATTGAATGAGCATGGGTGTAGAGCTAAAGGTTGCGTGCAAGAAACCACCTACATACATGCTTTTTAGTCAGGTAAACACTATCAGGGTTCGTACACATTTTTACCAATAAATTTCCATGACTTTTGAGACAATATTCATGACCTAAATGTTCCATTATTTTACAATAAGAATAAAAATATTTTCAAATTATCATAGCATATGTTAACTAAAATGAATGACTATTAATGCTACTCGTTTGCTTTCTTGTTTTAGTAATAAGTACAAGCTGCAACTGCGCCAGACGTTACTCCACAT